TTTAATGAAACAATTTGTAAAAGCTTTGCCTAAAGATGGTGATTGTTTTAAATATTTATGTAGAAAATTTCTTCATTTATCAGAAGCTAAACTGAAAGAAGGGATTTTCGTTGGGCCTGATATTCGTAAACTGATGCTCGATACCAACAACGATGAGTACAAAGGAAAAAGAGGCTTGGATATCATTTAGAGAAGTTGTGAAGAAGTTTTTGGGCAATGTAAAAGATCCTAACTATGAACTTATCATATCTAACATGATAAACAATTTTAAAAATCTTGGTTGTCTGATGGGCCTTAAAGTCCCCTTTTTGCACAACCATCTTGACTTTTTTCCTACAAACTTAGATGATGTCAGTGAAGAGCAAGGGGAACGGTTTCATCAGGACATCAAAGAAATGGAGAAACGATACCAAGGAAGGTGTAATGTAAACATGATGGGTGATTACTGTTGGACACTTCACAGTGAGCAACAGAATGCTTCGCAAACATATATCTAATATTTAGTAATCTATTATTTATAAGAGAAAATTGCAACTTCATTAAGAACTACATTTTTTATTTTTAATTTAATATAATTAATTTAATTTTTCCCTATTTGTTGAAATATACAATTATACAATACACAATGTCATATTGTGAGAAAATTGTGGGTGATAAAAAAACTGATATCGAATACGATTTCAGCACTAAAAAATACATAAGACTTAGGTAAATTTTTACAAACATTTCATTTGTTGGCCTGTGTTATTGGAGGTTCATTATCCGTCTTTACTTGTCGTAAATTTTTGACAACAATTTGGGAAAACCCTGTGCAAAGTAAGTATTTAAATCCACATGTGTGGAAGGTTATTATGCTCATAAATAATAACGTGAAAATATAAAAAAGATATTGCAGTAATTATCATTATTTCCACGACCCCCTAATTGTCATATACATTTAAGTCTAAAATGCTTATGTGCTAATTGTTCTAATTTACTAATCAAATTAAATCAATGTCTGTAAGTTAAGATTTAAAAATCTTGGTTATTACGGCATTTAACTGTTTCAGTTGTTCATGAATAATTTACCATAGCAATTTCTTACAGGAATATGTCATTGAGGGTCGGTAAATTTCACAATTCCTTTCACATGCGTGGCTAATCTTTGATACGGAAGTTGAAAGTATAACTTCAAAACCAAAGAATTCATTTCTTTGCGACTGCAGGTGGTGATCTAGCTTACATCGAAGGTCAATATTGAATATAAATAACATAGCAAAGCGTTCACAGTCATCAGTTGATCGACACCAATCAAACATACAACCAACAAAATGAAATTCTTGGTAAGCGGTTTGTATACAGCTTAGGTTTACTCAACCATTTTCAAATTTCATTAAATCTAACCAATTAGTCTGTGTAATTTTACCAATTGTTTTTATTGTAGTGATTTCTATGGATTTGATTTGTTACAGGCTATTGTATCTTTGGCTTGCTTGGCTGTTGCCAATGCAGGTATCATCTTGGGACACCATGGTCATGATGATGGCCAATGGCACGGAGAAGGACTTTTGGAAAGTCAATGGCATGGTCATCACGGAGCCCATGGAATTATTGCCGCTCCAGTTCTTGCTCACGGCCATGGACACGCCACAATTGTAGGACCATCCAGTCATGGTGCTCTTGCTGGTCCCGTCAGTCATGGCGCCACTCTCGTTGGTCCATCCCACCATGGTTCAGTAGTAGGACCTGTTGACCACGGTGCAACCCTTGTTGGCCCTTCCCACCACGGTTCAGTAGTAGGACCTGTAGACCACGGTGCAACCCTTGTTGGCCCCTCTAGCCATGGTACAGTAGTAGGACCTGTTCACCACGGAGCCAAACTTATCGGACCTTCTTCTCACGGAGCAGTTGTAGGACCCGTCCACCACGGTGCTCACCTCATTGCACCTTCTGCTCATGGAGCAGTTGTAGGACCCGCCCACCACGGTGCTCATCTTATCGCACCTTCTGCCCATGGTATCGTCGCCGGCGGTCACAGCCACGGAGCCGTCCTTCTTCACTCCGCCCACGTTGTACCACATGCCGTCCATCTTCATCATCATTAGGGCTTACGAGAATACGCTTAACTGGTTGACCCAACGTTGTAAAATCGCAGTTTAAATCTGCATCGAAACCAAGTTTCAGTTACAACCGTTGGTGTATGTTATTGGAGACTTGCACAATAATTTGTTTTAATTTATTGTTTACTATTTTTATTATTGAATATATGGTACCATTGCAACTTGAATCGTTTGTTGTTATTTATTAACTTAAACACATTTTTTATTCGGTTGTTTGAAGCATACCTGCATAGTGCATATCCTGAAATCGAATGGTTTCTATCATTATTTCATCATGCTTTTATTAACTTGCTGCCTTGTCTGTCTGTCTGTTTGTATAAATTTTGCAATTGATTTTAAACTAACTTCTCGATGAGCGAGAGATTTTTAAACATAGTTCGGAACTAGATGACAACGTTTGTTCCTTCCCCTGGGCAAAAATTATTTATCAGTCTCTCTCCAGTCTCTCAGTTTTTCAGCGTCTATGAGAGCGTCTTTCACAGTCTTTCACAGTCTTTCACAGTCCCTCACAGTCCCTCAGTTATTGCCTACGTGTTTTTATGGATCTCTCACAGTCTCTGTATGAGAGACTCGAAAGATAAAATTGTTAATTCAGAGATTCGAGTATCTCGTTCAGAGATTCGAGACTCTCGTTCAGAGACTAGATACGAAATAAGGATCTCTCTATGAGCGACTCGAGTCTCTCGTTCAGAGACGCTAAACTTTTTTTGACAGTCTCCCTCAGCGACACCAAAGAGACTCTCGGGTCATTAGGGATAAATTTTGTAATTTAAAACTAACAACTTGATAAGCTAGAGATTTAAAGTTTTAAACAAAGCTGAAAAGTGGGTGACAGTTGAATAACTTCAGACGCACAAAACTAAAAAGCAAAAGATAATTATTTTATTAATTATTATTTA